AGGTGCAGGCAGATCAGTGAGGCCGCGCTCAGGGAGATGAAGACAGAGTCGCTGGGAGGACCAGGGTAAAAATCCCCAGTCCTATTTAAAAATACAAAAACTTAGCGCAGGCGTGGTGCGGGGCACCTGTTAAAATCCAGAGTATGCAGAGAGAGGCTGAGGTCGCAGGAAGATCACTTGAACCTGGAGGAGAGGCTGCAGTGAAGCTGAGACCTCGCCACTGCACTGCCAGCCCTGGGTGGATGGAATGAGACTTCTGGTCTCAAAAACACCACAGCACAGCACAGCACACGAACACAGCGGGCGAGTGTAAGTGTGTGTCCTTCTCTTCAACCCAGAGAGGAACGCCTGGAGACGACCGGAGGCTATGCTACCCTAAGCCTCAGGGGATTTCTCCACCGGTAAATGAGATTGACCTTTCCTCAGCCACCCCCCGCGCGCCAGCCCTGAAGCGTTCGCTTCTGGGAACTGCTCGCTGCTGGTGTCCCCACGTCCGGAACTCAGAGGCAGGAGACGGCAGACGCCACCTGGGAGGGCCAACTCACCCTGGCCCTGAGGCTGGATGCACGAGCATCTGGAGGGCTCAGCGGTCGCGCAGATGGAGCCTGGTGGCCCATCCACCACCACGCAGTGGTACCAGAGGACGTTGTCCTGTCGTCCAGTTGAGTCCGCTCCCTGACCGGTCCACTCATGAAGTGACCACTGAGGTCACCCCAGTGCATTCATGGGGTGGCTCCTCAGACCCCAGTCGCTGTGATCGCGCCCCTGTACTTTCGTGCCTCCGGCGCCTGCCCAGGAGATTGGTGGCGCTCAGGAGGGGCTGTGGGGTTCATCTCACAGTGGATCCCCACAGCGAGACCTAGCCTGGGCTGGCACGACAGCCACAATTGCACGTCAGCAGGCGAGGGCTGGGGCTGCCCACAGCCCAGACCCTCTGGGACGGCGGCCAGGAGGGCGCAGGCTGACAGTTTGTGTGTTTTTAGGCGCATCTGCCACCTGGCGGCCCGGTGTGTTTTTTACAACGCTGGGACTGGCATCTTGTCTTTTTGAGATGACCATCACTAGGCAAAAGGGGGCTCAGGACCATGCAGGAAGGTTCGATGTCCTCTGATGCATTTAGTATACAGATGATCGCGGAGCAGCAACGGGGCAGGGAGGGCGGCGCCAGGACTCATTTGTCTTGAGGGTAGATGTTGGGGATCTGCAGGCCTTCGGGGGCTCTTCAAGCCGGCCTTCATGCCAGATGCGCTCAGGTTTTGCTCGACTTGCTCTGCAAGGGGGCAGAGGGCAGGGACCGCCAATTAATTCGTGGGGCAAATAAACGTGGTTCTCAAGCACTTGCCCTCCAGGAACAAGCAGATGGTGGCCGGCTCATCGCTGCTTGCGGGTTTCAGGCGTCCTCCCGGGTCGTTCTCCGCAGGAAACCCGCGTTCTCTATATGTTCGGTATTGTGGGTTCCTCTTCACCAGCTTCCGGTACTTGTGGCGGTTCATCTTCCGCCGGCGGATCTTCAGCACGTTTTTGCACTGAATTTGAGGCGCATCCCCGACGCCTTCATCCCCCTGCTCGGCCCCTTCCCCTATCGGGCTGGGCGGACACTGGTGGGACTGGGGTGGAGCCACGGGGCCTGCGGTCCCGCTATCCAGTCTGGGCAGGAAGCAGCGGGCCGTGAGCCAGCTCTCCAGGGGGCTGACGCACATCTTCCTGGGGACCAGCATCTCCTCCAGCTCCAGCTGGGCCCCCTTGCGAGGGAGGGAGGCCGCCCTACCTGGGCCGGCCGGCGGTGTGCTGTAAAGGGGCCCGCAGGCCCGGCTGCCCAGCACTCCAGAGACGGGCCAGGGCGGGCGGCCGCCTGCAGAAAACCAGACGCCACAGTCACCGCTCGCGAGACCACGCAGGCCCGTCGGGCTGGGGAGCAGCACGTTCGTCCCAGCGAGGATCCCCCGCACCTCATTCCCGGCCTGAACCCCTGAGGTTCCCTCTGTGCGCCTCGGAAGCTCAGAGGGGAAAGAGTGTGTGTGTGGCCACGGGCCCTGCCCCGGCGGAGCTGCTGGGACCCGCACTCCTGACCAGGCGTGTATCCTCCCATCCGCCCTCGCGGGGCTTCCTACCTGCCCAGGGAACGGCCCTCAGCAGCTGGGAGGTCAGGCGCCCCAGGAGCATGGTGTGTGGGCGGCGGCCCAGGTCCCAGGGGAGCTGGAACACAGGTGCCCGTTCAGGTCAGGCGGCAGCGCCTTCAGCAGCCACGGGCGGGCCGGGACTGGGGCGTCTGGTCCCGCCGCGACCCCCGCCTCCCTTCTCCCTCCGCAACCCCAACCCACAAGGAGGACTTTGCTTCCGACACAGCTGGCGCCCCGAGGCTCCCAAGCACCCCACGCGGGCGGTGTCGCGCTCGGACGCACAGAAAAGTCCCAGAACGTGGAGGCCGGCCCCCTCCCTGGCTTCACCCCCGCGCGGATCGCGCTGCCTGGCGCCGGGACCCTCTCGGCGGGACCCCGGGTCCGCCCGCCGCAGCGTCCTGGGCCCTCAGGTCTCCCGCTGACCCTTCCCAGGCCCGACCTCGGCGCGGCTCAAATTGACTGTTCCGCGGCCGCCCTCAGGCACTTCCGGTCCGTCCCCGAGTCGGCCCCGATCGGCAGCGGCCACTCGGCGGTTCCTACGCGCAGCGCCCCCTGGCGTCCTCGCGGCCCCTGATTCTGCATCGGCTCAGGCCCCGCCGGGCCCGAAAGGCGACGGTTTCCGGTTAGAGGAGTCACGGTCCCAGTCCTCGCGCGGTTCCTCAGCTCCGCCTGGTCCCTTACGGAGGCAAAAAAAAAACATTTCCCACAATCCCAGGGGGTTCCGGGCCCTGGACATGGCGGCGGGTCCAGAATCGTTTCCGGACCACCCGGGGGCCGGATTCCCAACGGGCCGACGGAAGTGCGGGCTCAAGGCCACGGAAGTGACGTATCCGGCGGCGGAAGTGAAGTTATCTGAAGGCGGAAGTGTCTGGAGCTATTTCTCCTGTTTTGGCTAGAGACGAAGGACCTGGAGCAAGCGCGGAGCTTGCGGTATCGGGGCCTCCCCGACTCCTCATTCCTGGGGTTAAAAAAAAAAAAAAATAAGACTCAAGGCGGGCGCGGTGGCTCACGCCTGTAATCCCAGCACTTTGGGAGGCCGAGGCGGGCGGATCACCTGAGGTCAGGAGATCGAGACCAGCCTGACCAACATGGTGAAACCCCGTCTCTACTAAAACTACAAAAATTAGCCTGGCGTGGTGGCGGGTGCCTGTAATCCCAGCTACTCGGGAGGCTGAGGCAGGAGAATTGCTTGAGCCCGGGAGGCAGAGGTTGCGGTGAGCCGAGATCGCACCTCTGCACTCGTCTGGGCGACAGTGAGACCCTGTCTCAAAAGATAAAGCAAATCACACTCTCAACTTTTTGTCTGAAAACTAGAAGCAGCCTCTGTGGAGGATTGGGATTGGCTAAGCCCCTAATGTTGCTCCCCAGAGTAGACGCTGCCAACGTGTAGCTTCACCTTTCTACTCCAGACACGCTCCTTTCACCTCCCTGAGGTTGGCTGGCAAGACAGACACCCCAGCATGGACTTCCAGGGGCGCCTGCTGGGCGCGGGGTGTGGAGCGGAGCCTGCTGGGCCTGCTCAGAGACTTGCCTTGCAGGAGGGTCTTGAAGGGACGCTTAGCGGAACTGGCCAGGCCAGGTCATCCGCCGGGCCCAGCCCAGCAGTGAGTGACAGGATAGGCCAGTGTGAGGACAGAAAGTGCAGGCTCCAGGCCCAGCTCCATAACTGAGGTCCCCAGGTGACTCTACCTTACCCCCCAGGGGCTACTTGGGATTTCCAAGCGGGAAGGTGTATTTGCCGCCCGCCCGCCCTCCTGCTGCACAGCGCGCCCTAGTGGATCTGGTTGTAAATGAGCAGGTGGTGCCTCCAGAGCAGCCCTCGCCTTGGTGCCCCCGTTTGTCTTCACTCGGCCAGGGGCCAGGGAGATGCAAAGAATCCATCAGACAACAGGTGAGCATGTTGAGAAGAACCAGAATAACCTGGGCTGGCAACCTTGGCCTTCAGGCTTCTGAGGCATTGATGCGCAGATGGAAGTACCTCCCCAGAGTTAGGGACCAGGTAGAAGAAACGGGATGTGGACATTTCAGTCTGAGACAGTCTTGAGGCGCACGAGGAACCAGGGTGTCCTTCCCCCTCTCAGGAAGTAATTTCAGGGAGGTGAAGTGAGGAACACCAGTCTGTTGCGGTCCCTGTACCCAGCAGGCTCCAGGCCAAATGGGAAAGGTCCCAGCTAGAGCAGGACCCAGGTGCTACGAGGCTGGGGAATTACCATTCAGCTACAGGAGCTGCATGGAGCCGGCCCAGGAGGCTTGCAGACAATGGCCACCCCGATGAATGTCCAGGCCAGACCTGACTAGCTGCCTCCCACAGGAGTGGCAGGAACACGTGTTGCAAGTGCCAGATGCTTGTGTGAGCAGAGCTGCCAAGCTAGGTGAGCTGGAATTAGCCTAGGAAGATCGATCCTTTACAAACATCTGAGGAAGAAAAATGCAGTGGAAGAATCGGGGAGGGTGCATGGGTTATGATTCCTAATTTGTAAAGAAAGGAACTCTAGTCTCTCAAGGGAAGTACACAGTTACTGCACATACCTGTTTTCCCCAAAATACCCATTTGTCTTCAGGAAAGTTTTTCTTTACAAACTTCAGAATTTTGGTCGGGCACAGTGTTTCACGCCTGTAATCCCAGCACTTTGGGAGGTCGAGGCGGGCACATTGTCTGAAGTCAGGAGTTTGAGACCAGCCTGGCCAACATGGCACCCCGTCTCTACTAAAAATACCAAAAAAAATTAGTTGGGTGTGGTGGCGCACACCTGTAGTCCCAGCTACTCTGGAGGCTGAGGCAGGATAATCTTTGGAACCTGGGAGGTGGAGGTTGCAGTGAGCCCAGATCGTGCCATTGCACTCCAGCCTGAGTGACAGAGCAAGACTCCGACTCAAAAAAAAAAGGCATAGGTGGTGGCGCAGACCTGTAGTCCCAGCTCCTCAGGACTGGGTCGAGGGCAGAGTGGCCAGATGCGACGGAGTATACTTGGGGAACAACATATTGGCAACCCAGCGCACACCTGCTTATAATACTTAAATAATCTTAAGATCACGGACAATAGTGATCTTATTAAAATACGAAACTATGAGTTTTCAGTATTTCCTTTTATTAGCATAATTTAACTGTAAATGTATGTGGTTTAGAAATAATGGCTGTGGCCGGGCGCGGTGGCTCAAGCCTGTAATCCTAGCACTTTGGGAGGCGAGCCACGGGCGGATCACGAGGTACAGGAAGATTCGAGACCATCCTGGCCTAACGCGGGTGAAACCCCATCTACCACTAAAAAATAAAAAAACCTAGCGGGCAAAAAATATAAAAAAAGGAGCCAGGCGAGGTGGGCGGCGCCTGTAGGTCCAAGCTACTTCGGAGGCTGAGGCGGAGAAAGGTCGTAAAACCCAGGAGGCAGGTGCTTGCGGTGAGCTGAGTCTGGCCACTGCCGCAGCGCGGGCACAGAGTGAGAAACTCGTCTCAAAAAAAAAAAAAAAAAAAAAAAAGAAATAATGGCTGGTGTGTAGCAGTTGGTGTGCAAAACTCCTGAAAGCTTAACAGCTAGCGGTCCCGCTGCGCCCTAGCCTGCACTGGCTCCCACAAGTCACTGCCAGGTTCTGACAAGACATCAGGGCCCTGCCTGGCTGCAACTTTTGCCCCAAGACTTTGGGGCTCCTCAGCTCAGGGCACAGGCTGAGCCCCAGCCTGGGTCCACCCTTGGCCACCCCGCCTTTAATGCTCCTCCAACCGCCGGGCCAGAGATACAACATGCCAAAAAATTCTGAAGTTTCTTTCCTTTTTTTTTTTAAATAGATGGAGTCTCGCTCTGTCACTCAGCCTGGAGTGCCCGTGGCGTGTATCTCAGCTCACGGCAACGTTCCGCCTCCCGTTCCTAGCAATCTCCTGTTCCTCAGCCCCCGGAGTAGCTGGGAATACAGCATGCCGCACACCCGGCTAATTTTTTGTATTTTTGTAGAGACGGGGTTTCACTGTGTTGCCCAGGCTGGTCTTGAGCTCTTGAGTTCAGGCAATCCACACTGCCTTCGGCCTTTCCAAGTGCTAGGATTATAGGTGTGAGCCACCACGCCTGGCCTTTTCTTTTTTTTTTTTTTTGAGAGGGAGTCTCACGTCTGTCACCCCCAGGCTGGAGTGCAGTGGTGCGATCTCAGGCTCACTGTCAACCCCTCACTTCCCAGCCTCAAACGATTCTCTTGCCTCCGGAGAATGGTCTTAAGATGACGGAATGTTAGGCCGGGCGCGGTGGCTCAAGCCTGTAATCCCAGCACTTTGGAGGCCGAGACGGGCGGATCACGAGTCAGAAGATCGAGACCATCCTGGCTAACACGGTGAAACCCCGTCTCTACTAAAAAATACAAAATATCTAGCCGGGCGAGGTGGCGGGCGCCTGTAGTCCCAGCTACTCGGGAGGCTGAGGCAGGAGAATGGCGTGAACCTGGGAGGCGGAGCTTGCAGTGAGCTGAGATCGGGCACTGCACTCCATCCAGCCTGGGGTGACAGAGGCAAAGACTCCGTCTCAAAAAAAAAAAAAAAAAAAAAAAAAAAAAAAAAAAGATGACTGAATGTTATAGGCAAGTGTGTGCTGGGTCACGGAGATATTGCTCTCCCCAAGTATACCGTCGCACCTGGCCTCGCCCTTGGCGCAGCAAAATAGGCGGCGGCACAAGCCCAGCCGTTGGCCATTCAGAGCCCGGCTTAAAAAGGGAGCACCTG